AGGTGTGATGTTATTTTTTTAAGTAATTCTTATGTTTTAGAGTTGCACATTGAAGTATTTAGGATGAGATAATGATACCTCAGATTTATTTCATAATAGATCCAGATGGGGAGAGAGGCTGGACATATAGATGAAACAAGATAGGCTCATGTTGTTAATTATTAAAGCTGGGTGACTGAAACAAAGGTCATAGTATTTTCTGTGTGTTTTTAATTCATGCTATAAATTTACATAACAAAGCAAAATATAAATGAAACTAAATGTGATTAGATGTGAAATATAAACCATGAGTGTGGGTAGGGAGTGGATTACAATAAACGGCATGTGAAAGAGTGAGAACATTCACTCAGCAATTATCTCGTTGAGAACCTAGTAGGTTAGGTTCTGTGTTAGGTCCTGGGGATACCCAGTGAAAAAAACAGACATGGTCCTTGCCCTCGGGCAGTCCCATATACCTGTGAGGATGCAGATAAGTAAGTAGGAGATTAAAATGAGAGGTGGGAGCATCCAGAAGAACATCCAAGCATTTCACAGGGTTAAAATGACATTTTTCTGGTGTTTGAACAGGAAACGCTGGTAGGTTTCTGTGACTCGGTTGAGTGCTGCCCTCTAGAGGTGCCACTGAGAAAAACACTTCTCAGACCACACCAGAGGCACCCAGCAACTGTGTGAGGGTTTTTCTGGGGAGTGAGTCATGGACAAAGTCAGGAGATCTTTCAATTCAGGTGGGAGCAGAAAGGGGGAGTTTCAGGCTGAGGTGATGACCTGTGAAGGGAACTTTTAGTACATTCCCTTCAGCTTCATAGCAACGTGTTTACCTAAGCCTTGGGATTACACTTTCCCAATTGCTTCATGAGTGCATGGGACTTTAGCCTGATTCTTTCTCAATTTTATGAAAAAACAAGCACAGAAACAATCCAGAGACAGCCATTCCAGGTTGTCTCCTTTCTACAAACGAATAATCTGTTTTCACTGTCATCCAGACTTCAGCTTTGCAGTCCACTGATATGTTCAGAGTTGCGGGCAGGATGCGTTCAGCCCAGGAGATGAAGTAGGGGCGATGCTTATAGCTTCCCAGGCTTCCTCTTCTCCATCCAGCTTGAGGGGAATGGGTGGTGGGCAAGGGCTCACTGGAGACCCTTGCTCAGGCCTTCCGGGTTCTCTGTGCTCAAAGTTTGATTGTTACATCCATCCACCTCTCAAGAAATATCACACTTGCCAGCCCCATCCACTCTCAGTCACCCTACCGCAATGTAACCTGCCAAAACTTACGTTGTGTTCAACCAGATGCTTTATAGACTGTTGCTCTGTACAGCCTGCTGCTGTGTGATCCTAGATCCACAGCAATCTCTGTTCCATGGAGCAAGTTAGAAACCCCCAAATTCCTGATCTTTTCACCGTAAAGAACTCCATTAAGCTATAATAGCTACTGCAAACAAACGGCACCTGTTACTTGATTTATGTGGGCCAGGCCCTGTACTGTGTGCTTTGAAAACACTGCAATATTCTGTCTGACAAAATGTTCGACCTCCATTTTACAGATGAGGAAATAAGGCTTGGAGACAATGATTATGCCCGGATCACACAGCTAGATGAGGAAGAACCAAGATTAGAACAAAATCATATCAACATCAAAATCCAGAAAATCTTAATAACTGTCTCCTTAGACTTAGAGTTTGATAGATTCTACCTACTAGGTCAACTACATCATTATGGAATAACTGATTATCATATTTGTATTAAATACCCGCAACCACTTAGAGCTTCTGATTCGATTGAGACAGCCTTGCCACTGGCTGCCATTCCAACCAGTGACTTCTCTTAGGACAAGGTGTAATTATTCCAAACATTTAAATTATTGGATATAGATAAAGAACAAACTTTTTTATCAATATTAGGTTGATTTAAATTAAAAAAGAATAACATGATGAAACAGCAGCCATCTGACAATATGCTAATAATAACTTATGTTTATTAAGCCCTTAATATACACCTGGTACTTTTCTAAGTGCTTTGTTTGCATGCCTTAGTGATTTCATCCTCATACCAACCTATAATATAGGTACCATAAGTATACCCATTTTATAGATTAGAATACTGAAACACAGAGAGATTCAGTAATGTTTCTCAGGTCAAGAAGCCAGTATGTTAAAAAGGTGATTTTTAACCATGCAGCCTTATAAGAAACCAAAGCTTTTTGGTTAAAAAAACAAATTAGCGTTAAAAAAAATTGCTAAATAATAGTGTTAAAAAAATTTGGTTAAAAAAACCTTAGTATAATTTTTTCCATAAAATAGGAATTCTACCTACACTTTTTACGGGAGAGGAAATTCTAATTTTAACAAATGAAGCCGTACAGCAGCTGGAACCTATTTCACTTTTTGCAAGGCCTTGGAGAATGGGGTGATATAAATGACAGGAGAGGCCCCTTGGAGGTAGATTCTTAAGTGGTCCTTGGCACATGGCATATCCCATGGTGGGGACACTCAAGGTTCAGTTCTGCTCCCACACAAAGAGACAGACTTTTCCTGAGACATTACAACTTAATAACTACAAGAAATTTGTAGTCACTTCCCTCCAGTGACATCCCCTCCTAAACCATGACCTAACCATGGACATGGGTGGGGTCAAGGTGGAGGTGAAGTGAACTACAAGAACGAGCAGCTACGTGCAGTGATAAATGCCCTTCTCGTGATGGATCAAATCCAAATTTCCAAATGGCCATGACCAGACTGCCCTGTGTATGCTGCCAAACTCAGAAATCTGACTTCTCCACATTATGTACCGGACAGGGGCCCCTCAAGTTTAAAAGCCTTTAATGCTATGGAATCAACTAATATGAACTTATTTACTGTTTCTACCTCCAGTTTGAAGAGAAATTTATAAAAACTCCAGAAGATTTGGAAAAGTTAAGAAATGGTAAGGCCAAGTATCCAAATGCCTCTGATGAGGGCATCCAGGGGAAGGTATAAGTGGAGGTTTATCACGAGGCAATGCCTATGTGTCTGTAGGGTGGTAGTTGGGGTGGTAGAGGGGGAGCAGAGTGGCTAAAATGTAAGGGGTGAGGCCGCTTGAGCAGGTCTTGCCACTCTCTCAGGGTTAAAACAGGGGTGACCTTTCTGAATATTTGCAAAAGGAACCATCCCAGTGCCCCAAGAATGCCCTCTCCTTGGTTCCTCATGTTTCTGCACCGCGAATGAGCTGGAATCGGCTCAGGATCCCACACTGCCCTCCCTGTCCAGGACACACAAGGACATGCACAGACAAAAGGATAGCTGCGGCAGTCACCTTGAGTCTGTTTTTTTTATGGGTTTGACAAAGTGGTATCCTAGCAATCCTATGGACTTAGATATGAGGTGGTGTTGACTTAGTTGGGAGTCGAGGTGAGAGTGGGAGGAAAGAGATACAGAGCAAGGGCCAGCAGGCGTGGGGTCACACCCATTGCAGTGGGGTTATTTGCAGAGCACACTGAGGGCCCTACAGAGATTTCTCTCTTAGAACTGGCCTTGATGCCGTGAACACCATGAGACTTGGGGAACTTCCCATTTTAAATGGCATCTGGCTGGTGGCTCAGTTCAGCCCCTCCCAACTCCTTCCTAAAATATTCATGGAGAAAAACTAAACACAGAAATTACAGATACCAACCATGTATCTGGGTGGGAAATAAAAACATAAATGAAATAGAATAAGAAGTAAAAGGGAGCTCTTAACAGAAAAAAAAGAACTATGGGAATCTGAAACTAAAGTGCGATTACAGCTGAAAAATTACCAGGTGAAAAAATTTCCTCATTTTATATCTTTGGTCATTTCAGCAAACAATTTTCATCCTGAAAGTTTGGACCCATAGACATTTCACTCTTTTTCTTCTGTTGTTATTTCAAAAGATGGGAGTTTGATGTTCCAGCAAGTGCCCATGGTTGAGATTGACGGGATGAAGCTGGTGCAGACCAGAGCCATTCTCAACTACATCGCCACCAAGTACAACCTCAACGGGAAAGACATGAAGGAGAGAGCCCTGTACGGTCTATTTTCTGATCTGACATCAACAGATAACACAGGGATGATTTAGGTCCCCCCTGGAGTGAGCAGGACCATGCCAGGGACATCAGGACGAGCAGTAGCCTGGCCTTGGGTGTGTAGACTGAGGTCCAGGATGGCAGAGTCCTGTGGGGAGGGGGAAGACTAAACATGGGGTGGATTCAGGCAAGTGTGCTATTAGAAGGAAAGTATTGTGGAAAACCCAATTTGGAACAAAAGGAAAAAAAGGTCTCCTGTAATGTGCACTGGTTGTCATAGTATAAAGAATTGCACCACGTAAGGGGATATTTTAGGTGGGATCTTGAGAAATACCAACGTGGCTAGAGTGGGGCAGGAGCACGTGAGATTGCTCAGGAGGCAGGCCTTTGGTCATGGGGACCACTCTAAGTTCATGCACAGAAGCAACAACAGCAGAGACAGCACACCTGTGTACAGTGTCAGTGGTTACTTGAAGGATTCCATGAATTTCTCTCATGTCTGGGCTCTGGCTGGGTCACTGATGCTCTTTCTTCCTGTATTTGGTCATGTGTTTTATGAAATTTTTAAACATATATCTATATGCTGATAGGTTGTCTAAGAAATAAATGCTGGCATATGAAAGTCACCCGCTGGAGGTAAATTACTTTGCTATCACCTGACATTCTATTCTCTTAGGTTTTTAAACTATAGTCTAAGGCAGGAGGCTTTGACTGGTTGTTTCTGTCTTTCAGGATTGAAGTATATACAGAAGGTGTGGCAGATTTGTGTGAAATGATCATGCCTCTGCCCTTATGTCCTCCTGATCAAAAAGATGCAAAGATTGCTCTAATCAAAGACAGAACAACAAATCGCTATTTCCCTGCCTATGAAAAAGTAAGTGAAGCTATTCAGTGACTTGGGCCCTGAGTTTAGAGAACAATAGAAAAATAGTGCCCGCCCATTTGTGGGACATTGACTTTCATTCCAAGGACACTTCCTGAACTCTGACTCTCACATAATTTTATAAAAATGTACTGTGAAGAAGAATCATACCACTGATACCCAAGTTATAATTTTTCAGCAAAGTTTCAGTTACATAGAACCCAATCTAGAATTTTTCTATTCAATAGAATTTCAGGGCCATGATGAGAATTTGGGCTGTGGAAGGCTCTGAGCCACACTAGAGGTGGGGCTAGATCTTGCAGATCACCATGGGCTTTGATTCAAGAGGACCGTGATGAAAGCAATACAGCAGAAAACATTCTGGCACCACATGTATGGAGACACGAGACCAGCTGCCCATCAGGGGAACTGCAGAGTTTCAGGGACGGATGAGAAATATGTAAATAGGGATCATGGCAGAGAGATGAAGAGGAAGAGATAGACGAAGAGATTTTAAGAAAAATATAATCTACAGAATTTGTGGACATGGTTCTCAGATTTTCAAGGAAAGTTGTACAAAGCTAAGGAAATAAATTTTTATCATTACATACATAGTACCTTTCTTAGTTAATGTCTCTCTTTGAAGGTAATAGGAGAACATTTCAAGATCAAAACTACCTGGAATCATGCTAAATAAAAATCATGCATACCCTCCCCCCAAGAAAAGACTGTAAAAGATATAGGAGATTTACAAATAAAAGACTTACCCCCAAACACCCATCATTATAATGCATTAGGTTATTCTTTTATTCATTCAGCAAAGGTTAATTCATTGCTGACCCTGCCCTATGCAAGCAGGGAAGTATTTAAGAGTAATATGATCCTCAATTGCACCCTCCTGGCCCTTGTGGTGCTGACAGTTTGGGGTACATTCACATGGTGACAAGCTCCACAACCATTACAGTGTATGTATATTTATACTATGAAAACAAAGAGCCCTATGATAACAAAAATGAACAATGAACAATACTACAATATAGCATTTCATGTAGTAATATGTTTTTGTAGCAAACAATTATTCTTACTTCTATACGTGCACAGAATCTGAATGGGTATTTGCTCAATATTGTCTCTAACTGGTGGTGCCAAGTGTTCTTTTTCTCTTTATTCTTTATGATTTGAGTATTTCTGAAATATTTTAATTAATATCACATATTACTCCCAAATTTTATTATGAGATATATTTACTTACCACCTAGATAGCAAAATTAGCTTCTTATTATGTTTGCTTTGCCATATGTGCCCATTTGTCCATTGATCAAACATGCATTTTTCACGCATTACAAGGAAAGTTGCAGACATCAGTGCAGATCATCTCTAGGACATCCAGCATGCAGCTCATCACAGTGTAAGTAGGAGGCAGAGCCAACGTTGCAAGGGACATGACGGATTCAGGTTCACCCAGGTTTCCTTCAGATCCCAGAGAGAGAGGCCAGGAGGTGAGGAGAGCAGACGAGAGGAGAAACACAGACTCTGCTGTCACAAAGTGGAGTCACTGCCCAAGAGGGACTGGAGAGAGAGAGCAGAGTGGAGAGCCATGTCCTGAAGTTTCAGGGCCGCAGCCTTGTAGGGTGTGGGGTAGACAGACACTTGGTGCTGCAGGAGCCTGTGGAAGACGCAGGTGAGGCTGGGCGGTGTGAACACCGCAGCGATGTGGGAATGACAGCAAATGGTAGCCTGGGCTTCAACTGAGATGTGAGCAAACCCATTTCACGCTGTCCTCATGAATCAGGGCCGGTGGAGAAAGGTCTGGAGCTCTGCACCCTCCTGGTGAGGCAGCAGAGGTGGGAGAGTCGGGCTGCAGAGGCTCAGGGAGAAGCAGGGCCCAGCCTGACTGTGCGTGTTCACCATCTGATTCCTCGAATTGGCAGGTGTTGAAGAGCCATGGACAGGACTACCTTGTTGGCAACAGGCTGAGCCGGGCTGACATTCACCTGGTTGAACTTCTCTACTATGTGGAAGAGCTTGACCCCAGCCTTATCAGCAACTTCCCTCTGCTGAAGGTGATCTGCTTTATGCCCCTAGAGAGGCAGCCCCACATCTCCCATCTTGGAATCTCATATTTGGACGCTTGGGCTGGTGACATTCTGACCCCAGCCCTCTCCAGCCTTCTCTGTCCACACCCCCAACCCCCCTTTTATTTTGTGTCTTCTTTTCCATCTCAATTTTTCCACATCTTCATTTCTCCTGCTTGGAGATTATTGACACTTATCTGTGTCAGTATCCGACAGACTCATTGTTCTCTGTATTGCACAAGAACCATGAATCTATAAGATTAATAATGTAAGGAAAAAGGGGAAGACTGTGAAGTGCATAAGGTCTGAAAGACACCCTCCGGGAAAATGCTACTGACCTATGTTTTCTTCCTCCTACCTTCATTTCTCACCGGAGTCTGTTTTCCAGCCCCTGTACTGGTGCTGGTGGAGGGGACTCAGTGAGTCTTTTTCTAGGAGGGTCTCTGATCGCCTGGGTTATGTTAACAATGGGTTGAGCTTTGGGTTTCACTCTGATGCTATGTTTTTGTGCATTGCAGGCTCTGAAAACCAGAATCAGCAACCTCCCCACTGTGAAGAAGTTTCTGCAGCCTGGCAGCCAGAGGAAGCCTCCTGCAGATGAGAAACATATAGAAGAAGCAAGGAAAATTTTCAAGTTTTAATAAAGCAGGCATGGATGCCAAGCACATGCAAGAACCACCTTCTGATGTATTACAAGAAAGAAGTGCTTTACCTAAATGTTGATTCTGATTACTGTGAGGCTAATAAACTTTTCCAAAGTATATGTGCTAATTTAATTGGAAATCATCTATAGAGATTTAGTTGTAATACCATTTACTTGGTTTTTATCAAGTTTGAAATCATGATCACTTCCTAGCATTTCTCTCTGAATTTAAATAAAAGCATAAAAGTTACTTGGACTTTGATTTATGCAAAAACTTGGCATGTAACAGCTATCATATACTTTCTTAAAGAGAAGTAAGTAGAAATTTTCATCTGACACTCTGGGTTACACAAAAATAGCCTTTTCCTGTTGTATTTTGCTACTTTTCTGACTAAATAGAAACTTAATAAAACCTTTTCTTAAAGACCCATGGTAGGAAATCTTATTATGGTAATTGAAAGGTGGGGCCTGCAACCCTCAGTGTTGCCCCCGTACCGGACCAGGGACCGGCAACGGGATTGCAAACCTCGGCGTTGCTCCCGCGCCTCGCTCAGCCAGTGAGCGGGAGCCGGTCCATATGTGGGATCCGAACCCTCGGGCGGGAGCGCCACCGAGCTTCCCAAGCGGCGCACTACCCAGTGCGCCACCGGGCCGGCCCTAAAACCTTTTCTTAAAGACCCATGGTAGGAAATCTTATTATGGTAATTGAAAGGTGGGGCCTTGAAGAGGTGATCAGATTACGAGGACTGTACCCTTCTGAATGGATTAATCCATTGATGGTTTAATGGTGGTCACGGGCATGGTTCTGATGGCTTTCAAAGGAGAGTGAATGATGAGCTCTCTCTGCACCTGCCATCTGCCATGTGACACCCTGCCTTGCTGTGAAGAATCACTACTCACCAAGGCTCTCACCAGATGTGTTCCCTGGACTTTGGACTTCCTAGCCTCTGAAACTGTAAACAATAAATATTGTTTCTTTACAAATTATTCAGTTCAAGGTATTTATGTTATAAGCATCAGAAATGGACTAATACATAAAGAGTCATTAGTTAGAAGTTAGTTGGTGATTACTGGTTGGTAAAGTCTCTAATCAGAGGTTAGTTGGCAGTTTCTGACTGGTTAAGCCTAAATGTTTTGTTTTCCTAGGATAAGACCTTCATGCTGAGTTGGGTTTCAGTTTGCTTGTGTAAGAATCAAGACATTGGAATCAGCTGAATGGCCTCCCAAATAATTATTTTAAAACCCACATTAAATCCAGCAACCTGGGAGTTTACTCCATTCAAGGAGTCAAGTAGCCCAGAGACCAATAGAAAATCCAGTCAGTCATCAGCTGCTGTGTGCCACACGGAGCTCCTGTTGTCCCACAGACTTCCTGATCTAAGGAGGTTTGGTTGAAACACTGGCCACCATTTGTCCACCTGAGCAGCAGTATCTTCATCCTCTGTAGCTTCAAGGAAGGGAAGAGGAGGTCTCTCTCACTACTGTCCTGCAATCTCAAAACATAGGTTGACATATAGAGCCATTTTTCTTCTGGAATGCCAATATCCAGGAGAGGCTAAGATGGAGGAATTTTTAACTTCAGCAATATTCTGGGCCCATAACTTGGGCTTTCTCAGAAAATCTGGGATTCAGGGGGTTGAACCCAGAGAACTAGTTCTGACTTCCCATTTTCATAGAGTGAGCTTCCCCAAAGTTGGGTGTGGTGGGGCAGACAGAGACACAGGACTTATGGCTCCTGTCTTGTATGTCTACTCAGTGTGAGGTCAACTCAGCCCAGCCAAGATGTTCTAAGATGTCTTCCCAAGAGGTTCCAGTTCCCTTTGCACATTTTCCTGCTCCCTCTTCTGCATTTATGAAGAGAGGCCTCTGTTAGACACCCCCCAACAATACATTCTTATATTCTTACCCTGCAACAGAGGTTTTTAACCTCCTTGGACCCAGCCTTTCCCAACTTATAACATATATTTTATAATTTCTTTTTATTATCCTAAAATGAACTTCATAAGATTTACCTCATTGTGGTTGGCGCTGGGAATAGAAGATGGATAAGATATCATCCCAGCCCTTGCGGGTTCATAATCAACCCTGAGGAGAAAGATTTGTATATAAAGAATTACAAGTCAACCTGTAAAGTTGTGCCAAGGAGGACTCTGGCAGGAAGCAAAAGCACCACTCAAAAAGAGTGGCTGACGAGAGTTTAACGAAATGCCTATTTATGAACCTGGACGAGAGTTAGGATACTTCAGGGGATGGTGAAGCGCTCTGGGGCTAGCAATACTGAGAAGACCCCACCTGCCCCAGTCCTCAGTGGGACAAGGGCAGAGAGCAGCAGAGGAATCTAGGAACACACTGAGAGTCATAGCTGCAGGAAAGGGCCACTCCAACAGGAGCTGATGGTCTTCAGAGAGGAAGACACCCGCTGTCAACCAAACAGCCCAGAACACATGGACAGTGGATAAAAATTATTAATGATTGGAAAGCATGACAATGATTCGTGACTTATTTGCTCTACAGCTTTAGCTATTTTTATACTATACGTAGTTTAGTTTAGTTAGAAAATAAAAGTAAGCATATTTTAAATTTTGGATATATATATTGATTCACACATTATATTTACCATACTAGGTGTTAAGTATTTTGACTATTGCCCCTGGGTATTCTGTGGCATCAATATAAAAAATTTTGTCAAGAAATAATTAACATTTTGTATTTAATCCTTACAACAGCGATCATCTTGATGGAGAGATTTCATATATATATATATGCTATTGAAGTGAAAATGAGCCATTGTTTATAGTAACCTGACAATTTTCCAAAATATTCTTGAAGAACTAATATATATTATCAATGTTCTGCCAACCAGAGCTGCTTAGATGAGGCAGCCACAAGTCAGCTCAACTTTATTCTGTGTTTACTTTGATCCATCTTGTCTTCTACCATTGTTCCAAAATCTTTGCTCACCTTCTCTGCACTTAATAGCTACGTTTGGATATATTTGTCCTTTGAAACTTTCAATACAGTTTCCATCTTGTCTTCTACCATTGTTCCAAAATCTTTGCTCACCTTCTCTGCACTTAATAGCTATGTTTGGATATATTTGTCCTTTGAAACTTTCAATACAGTCGCAACATTCTAAGTCAACAGGTCGGCAAAGCATATTTAGTAGAAACAAATTTTAGACTTTATATATATTTAACTTCAGAAATTGGTGAAATCATCTCAAGGATTATGGTTTCAATAAATAATATTTAAAGGATTTTATTTATTATTTTATTCCATAAATGTTTGTTGAGCACCTAATTTGTTTTCTGAATTGTTTTAGGCACAGAGGATGCCATGTAAGGCTAAGTCCTAAATGACAGGAAGAATCTAGGCATGAGAAGATCCAGGGTAAGAGGGTCTTCACCACAGGAACAGAGAGGGCAAGGAGGTGTGTTTCAGATACAGTAGGCAGGCCACTGTTGTGGGAACATGGTAAGGAAAAATGAGGTCAGAGAGGTAGACATGGGTGTAATAGTTATCTATTGCTGCATAACAAATCACCCCAAAGTTTAGTGACTTAAAGCAATAAACACTTATTATCCCACACAATTTCTGAAGGTCAGGAATCTGGGAGCAATTTAGCTGAGTGGTTCTGGGTCAGGAGCTATCAGGAGGTGGCAGTCAAGCCAACAACAGGGGCTGCAGTCACCTCAAGGCTTCACTCAGGCCAGAGGATCCACTTCCAAGATGGCACACTCATGTGGCTGTTAGCACAGACATCAGATCCTCTCTGGCATTGGCCACAGGTCTTAGTCCCTTGCCATGTCTGCTTCTCCATGGGGCTGCTTGAGTATCCTCATGATAGAGCAGCTAATTTCCCCCAGAACAAGTAATCCAAGGGAGAGCAAGATGGAATCTGCAATACCTTTTATGTCCCACCATTGGAAGTCATGCTTCTGATGATAGTGATAGACTGAGCAGATCACCTAGCACCAGAAAACAGTTGGGGAGGAGAAGGGAAGCACAGTAGAGCCAACCAAGGAGTCTGAGGTGAAGGGGCAGTGAAGGAGGGGGAGATCCAGGAAAGTGTGGCATCCTGAAGCCAATGGATGACCAAGTGGACTGAAGGGTGAGCATCGCATCTGGTACTAAGGAGGCCACTGCTGATCTGGATGAGAGCACTGGCAGTGGAGTAGTGGAGACAGCAGCCAAAGGATGAAACAGAGACAGGGGCTATAGACAGCCCCTTTGAGAAGTTTTGCTCCAAAAAAGGGCAGAAGTATGGGACCATAGACTTTATCTAAGATCCAGAAAAGGAAGGAAAGGTTAAGCAGGCTGGGCTCGGTTTCATTTGCAATTGTGGAAGGCCTGAGGATGTGTACCGTGTCACTGAAGTTGGCACAGTCACCAGGGAGTTCACTTTGTTCTGGAAAGTGCACCATCTGGTGCCCAGTCACAGTGGCAGAGTCAGAGGAACTTTTCAGTCATTGGACAATCAGTTTGCTGGAACAGAGAAGTTACTTTGTCTTGTAAATTTCACATCCACGTTGGAGTAAACTGCCAAAGAGCAACTAAAATGTGTCTGAAAGCCTGAAGTGGAAATTTCTCCACACTTCCCCTAAAGTGGTTTATTCCACTTTCTCTTTCTTTCTCACCTTCATCCTGTAGTCCCTCTTTGTTTCCTTTCCATCGTCCATTTCTATGATGTGGTTTGGAGGGAGCAGCTACAAGCCAAGGAACATCAGGGATTGCTGGCTGCCCCCAGGAGTGGGAGAGGCATGGAACGGATCCTCTCTCCCTCAGAGCCTCCAGAGGAAGCCAACCTTGCCAACACCTTGATTTTGGATTTCTGATCTCCTGAACTGTGCGAGAATGAATGTCTGTGCCTTAAGCCATCCAGTTTGGGGTAATTTCTACAATGGCCAGAGGAGATGAATACAACTACTTCACAATAAAAAGTAATGAATACATGCAAAAGTATAAATGAATCTCAAACTAGTTATGTTGAGTGAAAGAAATCAGACAAAAAAAATACCTGCTGTATGCTTCTATAGATATAAAATCTTAGAAAATGCAAACTAACCTACTGTGACAAAAAGCAGATTCGTGGTATGGGGTGGGACAGGAGGAAGGGATTACGAAAGGGCATGAGGATATGGGTAGGTTCACTGTCTTGATTGTGGCGATGGTTTCATGGGTGTATGTCAAAACTTATCCAATTGTACGTTTAAATTATGTGTATTTATTATATGTCAATTATTTTA